AAATCGCTTACTTCGGCAGTATGATAAAAAGATTAGGAAAAATGGAGAATAAAGAATTTTATAAGTACACTCGTGTATTCTCTGACTCCACTCAAATAAAGAACTTACAAACGACCAGATTAATTTACTGGCAAAAGGGCTTAAATTCATTCCAACACCCATTACAAAACAAAAACAGATCAGACAGCAACTATTGCGTGACTTTGATCAGTTCGCAAGGAGAATGCGTCTGATTTACATATTCTGAGGGGAGGACAGAAAAACCCATCCCTGCCACGTCAAATCTACATGGATACCACCAATACAAAAATTAGTAGCCCTTGAAAGCTATTTAGAAGAGGTTAAAAGTGACTTTTCAGAAATAGAAATAACAAAGCCAAAAGATAATTTGCTTCCGGTAGAACGGAAGGCGCTCGGAGGCCTTGAAACGCGACTTTGAGTTACCTCAAAAAGGCCGACAAAGGACCAACAACCGTAGTCATGAACAAACGCGATAAAATTTTAGAAGGCCAAACTCTACTAGATAACAAAGATAACTACAGGCCTCTTGCATCACCCATGGTCAAAGAGACGGACCATAAGGTCAGACAACTTTTTGCAGACCTCTACAACGGTAGTCATATAGACGACATGACTGAAAAATGGCTTTGTCAAACCCCAAATCAGCCTCAAATTCCAGAATTCTACACCCTAACAAAAATACACAAATCTTCCGCGGTCGGCAGACCGATAGTGTCAGGGTGTGATGGCCCTATAGAGAAGAGAAACTATCATCATTTGTCGACAAACTCCTTCAGCCGATAGCACAAAAACAAAAGTCGTATCTTAAGGATACTACAGACTTCGTCAATTTGATAGAAAATACGAAAGTCCTGGAGAAGGTAATACTTGTTTCAATGGACGTTACGAGCTTATATACAAATATGCCACAAGAGGAGGGAATAGGTGTTGTAGTTCAATTTTATGCTTAGTTCAAATTTGATTTTCCTATGTTCTCGGTCATGTTAATGTATGATAATGAGTTTGAAACAAAGGAAAATAAAATTTGAACCAAAAATAGACACTGTATGCAAAGCATACAAAATATTCTACAGAAACGGAACTCCTATCCCTACACAACTACTAAAACAAGCGCTAGGCTAATTCTCCAAGAAAATCCTTTCCAGTTTAATGGAAAGCACTACCTTCAAACACATGGTACGGCCATGGGCACGAAAATGGCAGTCGCCTTTTCATGAACAAGGTAGAGACGTTACATGGACGACGTCTTCTCGCTATGGAGTACAAACAAAGCATCAATAGCACGTGTCATTGAAAAGCAAACAATCATCATCCAATAATAAAATTTGCGGCTGAAATTTCTGATAAGGAAACAACATTCCTGGACACCTATATCTACAAAAACGAACGATTCGAAGAAGACATAATCCTTGATGTGCGTACTCATTTTAAACAAACTGAGACATTTCAATATACACGCTGTTCCTGTCACCCACAAGGAGTTTAAAAAAGGCTTCATAAAAGGGGAGGCCCTTAGACCTCTCAGAACAAACTCCTCTCAAACAATATTCGAGGAGAAAATTGCATATTTGAAAGCGCATTTGCTAAAGAGAGGCTACCCAGAGGACCTCATTAACACCACCCTCTCAGAAGTGAATTTCCAAAACAGGAAATAAGCTCTTCAACAGAAAAAGAAGACGAACCAACGAATCTTGCCTTTTGTTACACAATACCAACCATCAGTGCCAAACCTAAAGAAAATTCTCATGAGAAACTGGCATTTAATAGAAACACAACCACTACTGAGCGAACTATACAAAAATCCGCCGCTCGTATCTTACAAAAGAGGGCGGTCGCTGAAAGACATACTTGTGAGGGCCAAACTTTGAATAGGTTATTCTAAACACGCACTGGGGAGTCGTGTAGGCCTGTCAACCCCATTTTATATTACAGGCAATTTTTGATATGTTAAAATTCTAACATGACTCCGAAGCTAGGGGGAATAAAACAAAAGAAATTAATGATTCATCCCTCAACTTCGATATGATTTACTTTTTATTCCCCCAAACCTCGTAGCCAAGTTTGGATTTTAATATATCGAAAATGGCCCATTCATCCTTTTCTCGTTTAAAGTGGTCACTCGGAGGAATGACTGAAGAAATACCAAGACGGTTCTTACAGTGTATATCATTTCATTGCATTGAAGAATTCAAAGGTCAATATCCAACCATACGGTTATTTTTAAAAACACTGATAAGTACATCGGTTACACTGTTATTACGTTCACATGAAGCTAGAATAATATTACGCACCTATTTGTTCTACCCTTAATAGATGTTTTTCTATAGCTTAAGGGTGTACCTTTCCTTTCTACCCAGAACCGACGAACAAAGAATAATTCGAGCGTTTTTCTGACCAGTGCAGTTAATTGATTTTTCTTTTTGCTCAAAGTGGTCATACGCATACGTAGGGATGTCCACAGAAGTAACAAGAATGTCATGGTGATGTCTAATAAGACATTGGAATTTGTAATAACAGTTGTGATTGAAAAACTCTGGGCGCTTTTCACTTCTTCCACAGGCAGGGTCCACCCAATAATTGTGAGAGAACAAGGTTTTTATGTGGTTCATATAAAATACTCATTTTCAAGAAAAACAAAAATTAAATTCTGTTTTATAATCATAATGGCTAATTCGATAAGATGCCTCCTTTGGGGAAAGACAAGACTTTTTTTTTCTGCCTTTCAGTCAAAATACTGTTTCTTTATTCGTAAAATGTTTTCAGTGTTGATTTTTCTGAAGGCTATTCCATGTATTTAACCTTTCAAATTCAATCTACACTCTCATCAACCCTGGGAGACTTCGCAACAAGTTTTCTTCTTTTGCACGGAGAACTTAATTTTTTTCATTCAAACCACTGGCAATTACGCTGATCATGACCGTTTATGATCTGGCTTTTCATAAATTTTTCAAACCTCTTCCCCTGTAAGTGCTAGCAATAAAATGTACGAGAACAAATCCAAGAAGTGTCCTCGTTGTCTTTATATGATGTAAAGAATTTTAAATAGACGCTAGAAGATGTCTCATCCCAGTGAAAAATTTTCGCCATTAACATCCTCTGTCGGTTTGTGACTGTAATAACATATTATACGTGTCACATTCGGGTGAAAGGCAATACCTTGTTGACCGAGAAGTCCTTACTTAGTGGAGTGGTCGACAGAAAGATTCTAATTTCTCGATTACCCTTCTGTGTAGAGGTTTCTTCGAGGTACCATAAAGCTGTTACCTTAGCCTCGCCTCTAAACTGGATGAAAAGAGAAAAACAGATAAAACTGAAATGATTCATAGAATTGCAGAATGTCCTCAATGAGACTGCTGAACTTAATATCCTGTTCACGTGCGCTTTTGAATTAAAACGAACTGAACTAACAAACAAACATATCAAGGTCGCTAGACCCGATGTTTTTTTTTAAAGATTATAACACATGTTATACTCTTCTGTATCGAAGAGTCAAATGAAACAGAAGGCAGATCATGACTGATACAAAATTAAACAGCTAAACTTTATTGATTTATATCATGAACTTTTAATCAACCAAATCTGATTATTACGAAGGCATAAGCCTGAAACTCCGACATTTGAATCGAGCATAAGTCGCGTTTTGAACGCCTTATTAGAAACGTCATCCAGTCGAATGGAATGGAAAGCATATCTTAGGGAAACAATCGAGCACCATCGATTTATGTAAAAAAAAAAACTTATAATCAGCCGAATTTGATAATTGGGTAGACATAAGTTAACTTCCCTAATTGAATCGGGTACAAATTGCATTTTGTACGCCTTTAGTTTTCAATTAAGTAAAATAATAATCCTCGCAGTTGAGCTGCAATTTAAGCAATTGTATCATAAAAAATGTTGTTATCAAAACCGTTGAATTCTATGTCTTCAGGCTCGATATAGGGCTCGACATGACTGATGTGAAGTTTTAATCAACGTCGAAGTTAAGCAAAGTAAGACCACCAATAAGTACCTTATTTTACCGTCCATGGGCTGCACTTGTTTTTTTCTTTTTCGGAAAATGGTACTAGAATTGGGGTGCAGCTTATACAATGGTACAAGCTTTTTGACGCCCAATAATATGCAATCTCGTTCAAAATTGGACACTTCAAAAAATACTTCTACTTCTTTAACTAAAGTCGCTTTCACATCAATTCAGTAACTCATAGGGTAAACAACTTAACATAAAGTCCATATCTTCTCGTATCTTCGGCACTGATGAGAAGTTGGACATAAGAACGTCGACCTCAACTTAAAATAGTATTGTCACCATTGTATCACGAGGGTGGCATGAGTTGAACAGAAACTTAAATGCATTTAAACTCAATAAAATACACCATACATAAAAATGAGTCTCAGATGGAGCTCGCATGATTCAAGTATGCGCACAGCTGATTCTATGTTTGATCCAAGTATCAATTTCGTCAACTAATACTATTCGCGTGTTTTCCAATGGTCATCACATGATGCTATGATGTTCAATAAAAAAAAAAAAAAGCAAGTGAACTTCTTGGCCTAGCGTCATGGCTTCTATAATGTAAACACGTTAATTCCTGATATCTCATTACGCCAAAAAACTCGCGTGATACCAAGCGATTATCACATGTAGCTGTCATGTTCTATCGAAAGTGGGGAAAAACTCCTTGGCTTGGTGTCGTCACATGTACAAATTGTGTATTCGTAATTCAAGAATAATTTCACCTCAAACTGAAACATGCCAGCCGATTAATGCGTAAAAAACCGAAAAAAAGGACTCGGCTATTTAGACACATCGTGTTTGCCCGTCAACCATCACCGTTCTTTTTTTTGTCTTTTCTTTTTTCCACCACTGATCTGAGATGAATCCCTCCTGTTGATCACGTTCCTAATATTAAGCAGCGTGGGTTGGGGGTCAGACCTTTGATCGATGCAGGCTTTTTAAAATTAATTTGAACGCGTTCATCGCAACGACAAAGCTCTTAAACGGCGTTCAAACTTCAGCTACCTTAGTTTAGAAAAAGCCCTTATCGCACTAGCAGTTAGAGGTTATTTTCATACGGATAAATTCTATAAGCCAAATCAAATGAATAATAATACAGCAAGAGAGAGACGTGTAGTGATCGGTGTGGATAGAAGCCAGCATAGTGCAAGAGCTTTTCAATGTGAGTGGCAAATTTAAAAATTTACCTTAGACATGAGACTTAGTCACCTAACTGTGTCACATTCGTTCAGTGTTGGATCATAGTTTAATGATTATTAAGTTCAGGTGAAAGTTTTCGAATAATTATCTGATGACGACAAATCGACTAGCCCTTCACCAAGGATCTACACAGCTACTGACTGTTCCCACTTCTTAACAATAGAGAGATTTAGCGCCGGGTTTACGTGAAACGGCGAAAGTCAGCTTGGTCTTTCACTTTTCACGTAACATAGCGTGAACTCTGCTGCGTTAGCTTTGCGTGAGCTCTTATCATGGTGGATTTGAAGGCGGCTATGTATGTCCTACAAGGAATAGTATTGGTGCCCTATTTCCGGAAATTAACTTGTATTCTCTGAGAGAAAAAATGAAGAAAATCTTACGTACACGGCAAAGTTAACGCGAAACAGGTTACTTTCACGTAGAAACGGCAAAGCGCAACTGGCAAACGTGACGTGATCACTCTTGCCGTTCACGTCAGGTTTCACGTAAACGCGGTGCTAAATCTCTCTATTACTGGGAAGTTTACGCCCGGAGCCGTTGCCTAAAAATCAAAACAGAGACTGAAAGAAAAAGAAGAAGAAGAAGATGACAAAAAGGCTTTGTTTTTAGATTTTTTGTTCGCCGAGTCCGTGCACTTTAGTGAACTTCATTTCAACACCTTAAGAAAGTTTACGTCTATTTTCCTTAATTATTACCAATGTTTTACAAAGCGGTTGGGGGCTGGAAAAGATGGGAAAAGGATAGTTTCAAAACACTATCTTCATGGTTTTACTATGACGCTCTCTTCACAACTTATTGAAAGGATAAAAAAAAAACCACTTGTTATCTGTTAATACTCTCATCGATTCCTTCCACTGATTGTAATCTATTTCAGGGTACGTCAAGAACATGTGTAATGCGGAAACGGACCGAGTACTAGTTGTACATGCGTACGAGCGTCCAGCTATGGCAGTCTATCCCTATGCCCGTAAGTATTACATATTATGACCAAACCTACAATGATATTTTATGCATTAGGTTGCCTTAATTCCTGTTCCCCCCTCAGTGTATTTCAGTTGCTTTAATTGTAAGCTGTTCATTCTTCCGAATCATACATGAGCGCATGATAGTCATTATTTTAAAGCTATTTTTATCAGTGCAGTACTCAGAGCCGAGTTCTCAAGACTAAGAGAAAGTAATCGTTTCTGGTCCAGGCCCTGGGAAATGTCAATTTCACTTAGGTTATTTTTAGATGTAGGACCACCGGACACCGGTATTGTAACACAATAACTCCATATGCTGTTGAGTCACGTTTATCTAAAATCGAAACGAATGTTTTGTAATTGTTTACTTGCACTTGTGACGCATCGCGATACGTTTGCTTACGAGAATGAAAACATCCGTCCTCTTTCAGTTAGTCTTGGTCGCCTGTCAGTAGGATTCATGTATTGGCGAATAGCGAGGAGACTGATTCTTTTAATATCGAACTGACTTCGGCAATAAGAACCACAGTGTTTCTCATCCCAAGCTAGAAATAACATAGGTGAGATTGACATATCCCGGCCAATGCCCTGATTTTTCCTCTCTGTCCCATTATTTTCTATAATCACGACTTAAAACCTGGGCAAAATTAAAGAAAAATGTGGAAAAGTATTTATTAAAAGCCAGTTCTTTCAGATGGACACGCATACTACGAGGCTCTACAACTCTCTCTGAAAAAAGACAAGAAAGAATTGGAAGAGCTGTGGCAAAATTTTGAAGGCAAATGCAAGCACTACAAGGTTTGTGAGAGTTATATGAATCTGAACGAATTTTTTTATTAATAAAAAAATACTGCCCGATGTAAGCATCGCAATTATTTTGGCAAATATGGTTTAGTTTCGTTAAACCAATGGCAAAGTAAATACAACGTAACCTAGAGTTTAAAGTAAGGAAAAGCATGCAAACTGCTTAATGCGTGGGTAAACGTAACCGAGCAATTTTCAATTAATTGTCGAAAGTAATCCAGATCTACATTGGTTTTGCTTTATTTCGCTTTCTGACTGGTCCAGAAAACTCGCGTTATTCTCTTAACCAATCAGGTGCAAAAATTAAAACGATTACGACTTGGTTACTTGCGTTTTCCTGCGCTTTAGGCACTTTGTTTGTTTTTATTTTGCCGTTTCTCATTGGCTCGTTGTACTAACTTGGTTTTGGTTCTACGATATTCAATCGAGTACCTAATATATTTTGCTTTGTACTTGGTTGATTGAGAGGACAGAGTCATGTAGTTTGTGGGTCAAAGAAAGAGGGAAATAGAGCAAAATCAATACAACTCCCTATTTTCTTGGACACTCAGTTGGAAATTTCCCTAAACGAGTATATTTAGAAACATAAGGCTCCGTTGATCAAACTACGAACGGGAGCCAATGAGCATGACTTAGCGCTTTAAAAGTATTTCAAGTGCACGAACATATTGCAAAAGTAAATGATAAAGGCCAAGATTTGCCTAATTTATTAGTCTATCGCGAATTAGAGCGCTCAATAGTGAAGTCTTGAAACTATGAAATATTTATTGACAATTGGATGCGTTGAGCCAAAGAATATACGAGGACTATTAGCTGAGATTGCGGTAGTTTTATTGTTATTTTTATTTTTGCTTCAAACCACCTTATAAGTGCGATTTATAAAAAAAAATATATATCCTGAAAGAAGTATTGTTATGTTTTGACAGCTTAATTACAAGTTGTTCAAGGAAGAAAGTAGCAGACCTGGAGAAGCGATCTGTAAAGTGGCCAGCGACGAAGATGCGCATGTCATCGTAGTGGGCTCCCGTGGTTGTGGAACTCTGCGGCGGACATTCCTTGGTAGTGTCAGTGACTATTGTTTGCATCAGGCTCATATTCCTGTAGCGATTATTCCACCTCCAAGCTGAATTGAAATAGCGGTCAAATTAAGTACATCTTAAATCAGGACTTCGTGTCTGCCATTAATTTCCATCAAAGTAATTCTTACTGCAGATGTACGCCAAGCTTAAAATGTTTTTGAACGGAGACACTCTAGTGGATTACTAAAAATGTAGGTAGGTAGGTAGGTAGATAAGTTTATTTCTCACATTTTCACAGAAAATCTGAATTACAATGTGGTTACAATTATTTAACAAATACATAAAATTACATGCGTGGATAGGGACTGGGCTACAATAGGTTTAGAAATACAAGATAATTAAATAATTAAGAATTAACATTTGACTATGTGGGTATGCAAATATATATAAAAAGAAACTCTTATTTGTTGAAGGCTAAAATAGTCCTTGGGAAAAAGCTGTGGCGCAGTCTTTCGGTCCTGCATTTAGTCACTGAAAAATTGCTAGCGTTCCTCAATTGATACTGATGCACTTGCTTTCTTTCTTTCGGGAGATGTTTAAAAAGTGGCCCTCCTCTTGAGATATTTTCAAGAGTTTTAACACAAAGTTCACTACGTCTTTCAACTAATGTTCTTAAATTAAGGAATTGCAGAGCTTCTGGGTAAGATAAAGTAGGTACTATGATTTTAAGAGCACGCTTCTGTATTCGTTCTAGCTCTTGTGAAAGGTAGGATGGGAGGGCGTGGTGCCATACTACACAGCAATATTCAAGAACAGATCGTATCAGTGAGATATAGATAGTGGTTGAATCATTCATCTCCACACCCCCTCGACGGAGTACTCTGAGTATGTGTAGGCGTTTAGAAGTCTTGGTGACAGTAGCTTCAATGTGATTGTTCCATTTTAAGTTATTCTGAATCACCAGGCCAAGTACTTTGTGTGAAGTTACAAGCTCTAATTGTTGATCGCCGATCTTCAAATGAGGGAGTTCTGTGGGTTCCTTGAGAAAGCATATCCGCATTTCTTTACACTTTTTAGCGTTGAGTTTCATCCAGTTACTGGAGCTCCAAGAGGCGACAGTATTGAGACTTGTTTGGATGTTTGAGGTGCTGTTCCTTACGAGCCCCTCAGACAACGATACATCATCTACAAAGATAAACACAGAAATTAACTGATCAATCGTTACCGTGGATGTTGTATCACTTGTTTCCCATGAGGAACTCAGTAAAGTAATTCAGGTCTTGCGACGGAAAACTTACAAAGCCTGATTTTATTCCTGGAAATGCGGAAAGGGGAATGGCATTGTTAAAGTTTAATGCCTTTCCCAGTTCCTTCCGTAAATCAAACCTGGATCTCTTGTTTTAGGGTCAGTTGCAGTAGCTTAGTCATAGGTTAATACCCATCCATGTCTCCCTATACAGTACGATCCGCCATGTCGAACAGGTTGATAATCAGGCTTGCGTGTAAAGCTATACTAACCCGCGACACTCTCACTGTGTGTCACCGAACAGATTTCATTATTCAGTATCTGACCATTATCACCTTGGAGGGGAGGGGCCGGGGGGTTAGGCGCGGAGAATTTTTGAGGATCACATGGTGTTCAGGGGGAACGGAGGTTGATCAGTCGTAACCAAAAGAGTTTAAGGGGTTACTCTAAAAAAACTGCAAATGAAAGGGGGAGAAGGTTCATAAGAACATTATAGGGCCTTTTGAAGGGATAAGGTAAATTTCTTTTATCGGGACATGACCAAAATCCTCCGAGTCTCTCCGGGGCCATAAATAATGGCTGGTCCCTAGATGAGCGAAGTCATTGCGATATGTGTCAAGTAACTCGCGTCTCTGGTTTATCTTTAGGGGTCCGTTATCCCAATTTTCCTTTTTTTGGGGGAGGGGGGAAGGGGTAGGGGGGCAAAACAAGATACTGAAAAGTTAGTAGTTCTAAAGTTCTTTAAACCGGGTTAGAGCTCGAATCCATTACCGAGGGGCTTACAAACATTTTTGCTCTCAAGGTTCCCAATAAAACTTAACAACGAATATATATCTTCCCCGACTTTCGATGAAAATTTCCATCAAATTTCGTCCTCGCCGTCATGGTTGTCCTAGACTCTGTAACACCGCTGATGACGAAAACAACGTCATTGATCGATAATAATAACAATAACAATAACAATAATAATAATAATAATAATAATGGTAATAATACTAATTATGATAACGATGCTAATCATGATAATGACGATGATGAGAATTGAGATGGTTAGAGATATTTATTTCTACCAGGAGCCCATTCCTGTTTATGCTAAATAAATCTAAACCTATGACAAAATATACTTGTTTAGTAGCCGAGCACGATTCTCCCCATTCTTCTTCATTCTCTAGCAAATAATTTGTCTGATGACTGCCTTTCTTGAATAATCAATGTTTCATCATGTTCTCGTGCTAGTGTCCGGCCCATGCGTGCGCCAAGTAGAAGCACATGTGCACCTAAAACTACCTGTTGAGCTGGCTTGCACAAAACGTGCAGTAAGTCTCGTAAAAGTTTAGGGAAACGTGACCTTCGGGAGCAAGATTGGCTTTTTTTCTTAACTTTTCCCCTTAGATGAGCCAAGATAAACGCAAATTCTTTGCCGGTAACTATTACTAAAACGATCGAATTGAATCAAGAAAAATGATTGTAGAACATTTTGTTTGTCTTTCATTATTCAATAGGCCATTGCAGAAACGTGAGAGGACTGGGAAAGAGTGTGGTTGTTTTCCGTTTGTTTGAAAAACTAAGATATTTAAATGAAAGATCAACTAAATTTGAGAGTCTTAAGCAAGAATAGAAGTATTTAGAGGAGGAAAATGGCAAAATGACAGCTTTTCAAATATCACCTAAAATAGAGAGTTTGTCTGGATTGTGTAGACAGGGCAAAAAATTTTAAGGGTTTGTATGGAATTTTTGCAACTTTTGCAAGGCTCCAATTTGGACACTTTTCCGCTGAAAACTCTCAAACTTGGCTGGGTAACTTTTCATTCAGTAATATTTCAGTTGAAATGTTTAGATTTACAATGTCATCAAGATAAGAAACTCGTCCCAGTCCTCTCACGTTTCTGCAATGGCCTATTGCGTGACACATAAAGCCTTAGACGAGAATGTACGTGATTGGTCAGTTCTCTTCAGTCCAGCCGAGTACTTGACCCAGTGTCTCACGAATCCATCGATTCGACTCCTTCGCTGACGAATTGAGGTCGTCCTGAAAATTCTGACCACGCTCTCTGCTCCCTACAACAAGAAATGGCTGGGAGTGAAGAAAACGTACGAAAAATAGTTTTGGGTGTCGATGGAAGTGAACACTGTGCACGAGCTCTTGATTGTAAGTATACAGGGCAACCTTCAATTTTTTCGAGGTGACTGTTTTCGGTAGAGCCATTTTTCTCCTCAGGTTAAGGGTAATGCAGTATTTTTTATCAAAAAGCCGCAGATTATGAGTTGCTTTTGTTAAGAATATTTATCGGGAAAATTTCTTTGAGATCTGGAGATGAAAAGAATCAGTCATCTTTTGAGTCGTGTCAGTATTCACGTAGTTCCCTTCATCTGCTCATGTGTAACTGAATACATTAATTTCGAAATGGAAAGACATGAATAGCTTGTAAGAACTCTTGGGATTCGGAGAGAGTGTCGGAGTGCGCTGATCTGACTCAAATCGACCTGAGTCATTTGAGCTAGTTGTGTCCAAGAACAGAGATTCTCTGAATTACTGAGTTGGAAGCTACAAATTTAATGACTAATTTTCTAAATTAGATTATCATTAGGTAATTTTGTAGTTGCTTTGTCATGTGACTTTGCGTAACAGTACGAAACGTGAAGCCTGTCACGTTCAACGGAGTTCACATCATTAGTATTCCGTAACACACTTTGTATTGACCATTTCCGTTGAGCGCGAGAAAAAAAGCTATACAAGCACCTCAGCAACATTAATTGAACCATCTGTATTCATCTGCATCAAACATTCTCGTGTGTTTAATTTGTTTCTGGGGTTGGTTTGTTAAATGGTTATAATAATACATAAAAAAATTGCTCAGCTCTGATTTGTCAAGATAAATGCAGTTTTCAGGTAATTCAGTGCAGAAGAGGGTTAAATCAGTGCAGAGAAAGTAACAAACCAGACACTCTGATTGGTCAATGATCAAAGAAACACACAGAATTACCAAACTCACCGAACAATTCCTTGAACAGTTTGGCCAGACTTTGAACATTATTGCACCTTTAAGATATGAAAATTTCTTTTTATTCTATTGTTTTGATCGTACGTGGTTGTTTTTACTGAACACGCAATGTCACTTGCAGGGATTGAATAAATTATTTTGCACATGATGGGTGTGCTTTTCTTCTGGATAATTATGATAAGCTACCTTGTATGTTTTCATGTATATTATTAATACATAATCACATGATTTTTCTCATGCAATTTGGGATAAATAAGTCTTGTTAGTCTTTGAAAAAATTTGCTTGTGCTTATTCCAAATTACACTTGAAATCATGTGATTACCTAATTAACAAAACTTCTCCAAATTCTCCAGAAAAGTTTGCCCAAGACCCAAAAAATGTCATGAGAATTTGTGTTGTCCCAGTATCTAAGTAAGGATTCCTTTCTAGACTGAATGGATTTAAATAAATAAACGAATGAATGAAAAGTTAAACATCCTGTAGTAAATGTATACTCTGTTATCCAGTGTATAAAGATGTTGTTTACAATTGCATCACAGTAATAATTACTGGATCTATATGCCATAGTTAGCTTATTGCATTTCAACTTTCTCTTAACCCTTTAACTCCAGAATTGATTAACATGTAACTTCTCCCTATAATATTCATACATGATCTAGCAAACAGGTAATGAGAATACTCAAACTTATCAGGTAGAAGTTGTTTCCTTGATTTTAGGTTTTACGGGGTTGGGTAAGGTGGTTGAACCTTGTAGGGGACGCTATATCCTTTTGTTCCAACACCTGTATATATTCTATATGTACAAGTCTTGAAATAAATAATTAAATAAATTCTCACAACCAATTTACAAGGAGATGTATAGCAGCCATTGGGTAGAATTAACAACCAGATCTGGGGAATTAAAGGGTTTAGGAAATGCCTCCAGTATAAGCAATCACTTTTTTCTGCAGCAAGGAGCCAGATATGTTCTCTGGAAGGACTTGGCAATAGTTGATGTTATCATTAAAAAGTGTGTACTTAATGTTTTCTAACTAAATATGAAAACAATCATTTGAGCAAGCTTTACAGCCTAATTTTTATAGCTTGTTCTCTCATATTATTTTGCCTTTCTCAACACAGGGTATGTCACGAACCTTTGTAACAAAGAAACTGACAAGTTATTTATAATCCACGCACAGGAGCCTCCAACCATTCCTGCTGCTCCTTACCCTTGTAAGTATGGCATGTTAGGGCAAGAATGTAGAACTAGAAATTTTCACTCTGGAAGTCAAAGATTACATGAGTAAAATTTAAGTTGACAGTCAAAACATGATGTGAAGGAGTTATGTAATTTGCACAGCTATCCTTGCCCAGATTACAAAGAAATCAACATTTGTGAGGCCTATGCAACATTGATATTCTATGTACACAGGCTAGTAGTTTCAGTCTCTTTCATTTTTGCAAAAATAGAAACTCAAAACTGAGGCCTTGGAAAGATGATTTAAGTACAATTATGGGTCCCTTCCCTAGTTTTACCATAATTATTACATTTAAAGTACTGCTTAGTATCCTTTATTTTTTATGACTCTCTGCCAAAGAATACCTGATCAGCATAATTTTTCAAAATGGGGAGTTTTTCTGACAGCCTTCTTATCTGCCTCAAGTGAATTTTAAGAACCCTTTTTTGCTTCCTTGAAAGTCTTGAAATTACCCTTTTTGGTTTTGTTCCTTGAATTTCGATTGAGCAACATTCTTGAACCCTCTTACACTAGTAAACTCTTACACTAGTAAATTACAGTTTTAGAATGCAATTGGATGGTTTGTTATTTTTCAGTAGAATTGCTTTGCTTACCAGCTGAGGTGTGCTTGCTCTGCTTGGTTTAGGATTGGGTCATTTCTTACTCTTTTACATTTTGCAGCTTGTACACACTCTATGATTGGTCAACATAATAGGGTGTATTACACCTAGTCTATAACAACTATAATTATGGTTAACCTAATTAGCATTAATTGCACCAGCTTCTTGTCAAAGACAATATAAGCCTGTTTCACTCTCTCTTTCATTGATACAACCACTATTTAACAATTATTCCACGAGCGCGCGTTGGATATGAGATGATAGATAGCCAACGAGGCGCTACGCGCCTCGTTGGCTATAATCATCTCTTATCCAACAAGTGCGAGTGGAGTAATTGTTTTATTAAAAACGTTAAATTAAATTATTAAATTTTATTAAATTTTTAGCTCCCTTTTAATTTTAAGCTGACACGTACGCTTACCATAATTATTTGTAGGTTATGGTATATTGGCTGATATACAGTAATGGCTAAGCCAATAAAAAGTCTTGAATTACATTATCCAATGATCTAGTTTTTAATAAATTATTATTATCTTGTTTCTAGAAACAAGATAATGATTTCTAGAAACTACTATTTTACAGTTACTTCCGAATTATCAAAGAAATCAAATGAAATCTACATTTTGTCCAGTCAGGTAACCTGAACAATAATACTAAAACAATTATTTGTCTCGAGCTTATAGAGGATTATTCAACTTTATTGAGGGAGTTATTCAGCAATAATCACTTTCAACAAAAATCTCACGTAGAGGGCTGTCTGCTCCCTCGAGCAATATGAGAATCTAAAACTCAAGGTGAATCAATTGTGCAATTCATGGACTTAAAGCTTTGCTTTTTATGAAAGCCTATAAGATTAATTGATAACTTACACACTGAATTTTTAATCTTCCTTCAGATGGTTATGCATACTATGAGGAATGGCAGCATTTACTTCAGAAAAGTGATAAACAAGCAAAAGAACTGTTGGAGATGTTTGGAAAAAAGTGTAACCAGCACAATGTTTGTGAATTTCCCTTTTTTATTCATACACATCCCTAGTGAAATGTTAGTTTAAGGGTCAATTTTTAGATATCATTAGGATTGCACTGGTGAAGGAACATTGAAGGTGGTCTGCTTGTTATGCAAAGAATTCTGGAGAATTATTTTGAAGACTTAAATTGAAGGATACACCGTACACCTTCTTGGTTTATAATTTCATTCAGAAAGTGCATTGTAAGGTAAAAATTCCATAATGAAAGCTACCATACCCTTCTGAAAAGTATGGTGGCCAAGTTGCCTTCACTTTTGCAGTTTCATCTAAATAATCTGTAAATTAGGATTGGGTGAGCTTCTGACCACCAAACAAAACTCAAGTCTGTTCACAGCTGCTTAATTACTCACAAAAAAGTGGTTTGCTTTATATCTTGGTAGCTGAAGTTCAAGTTGTACAAAGAAGAAAGCAACAGACCAGGAGAGGTGATTTGCAAGCTGGCAAAGGATGAGTGTGCAGATATTGTTCTTATTGGTTCACGTGGTGTTGGAACTCTGCGTCGCACATTCCTTGGTAGTGTTAGTGACTACTGTGTGCACCACACCCATATTCCTGTAGTGGTTATTCCACCTCCAAATCGTCATGACGACCATGCTCATGCACAATAACTTTAATTTACTTTTGAAGAGTCTGACTCACATAAGTGTATACCACTGATTGTAGTGAGGGGTAATCATTCGTGATCTCCAAGCAGAATAGCTGTGAGACAGATGATGATTGGAAATTTCAGTTCTCAGTATGCACTGGAAGACTTTTGAAATAGAAAACTACTTGATGATGCTAAATGATATGCGATATTGTTCTATTTCAGAAATAAGTCTTCTTAGAGAAATCAAGTTGTAACATGAATTATTCCCTTGAATTTGAACTGTTGATTCACTGATAGTAACTTTCTCATATTTCTGTTAACTGATTTTCAATCTTCTGTGGAGGACAGATTAAAAGGATAGAAAGTTATTCTGTTGTGGGCTTGTGCATTATTAACATGTGGATTAATTCAAAGCTGCAATGCCCCCCTCTTACCCCCATGGCAACACCCAGGCATTTGATAAACTTTTGAGGATTGGCTCATTCAAATTCCTGTTCCCCTAGCCAAAATTGCAATCAAATGCCCTACCCAAGTGCTAAATTTGATGGCCAATTCTTTTGTAATACAAATGGCAAGATCAGCACCTGTGACTTTCTAGTAGCCTTTTTCTTCTGTGCCATCAATTGCAGGCAAAAGTGAACTCTTTTCCTTTTAACACTTTCTTATTAAAAGATGTGTCTCATGCAAGAAAAACATGACAGTTCTTGTTCAAATTACCCACCCCACCCAGACAGGTTCAAACTCCTCCTTCCCCTGGCACAGATGAAAGTCAAATACCTGTGAAATTTAAATCCCCTAGGCCAGCACTTAAGGTACCCTTCCTTGTTGATTGAATTACTTGAGATCAGTACAATTCTCCATACAGCTGTTATTTACACAATCATATGGAATACTAAAACTGTTTTTTTTTTTTTTTTTGTGGCATTTTCTAATTTTTCTCAATTGTTATTTGGTAACATTTTTGGGGGTTTTCAATTACCAAGATCCGAAATCAAACCCAAAGTTATCTCAACAGCCAATCAGAGTGAAGGAAAATATCACATGACAATGTACTAGAAACAAGTAAGCCTGGGGTATGGCGAATTGCAAGGGATCAAGTTGAGTCTCATTTCAGTTTTGCTTCTTTATAGTTGATACGTGTAGGTGTACAAACAAATAACTGAGCAAAGAAATTCCAGACTAGTTCAGCCTCATGAAATCACTGATGACACTCTAATGACTATGACCAGACACTCAATTGAAAGGCTGGCAAACATGAGCAACAAATCTTTCACCTTATCGCTCTAGGAGTGGTGCGGATTCTCTTGATCAATGCTTCGAAACAATGTAATCCTTTTGAAAAAACCATGACTGCCTCTCCCTTGATGGGCTTTGACGAAAGTCACAAACGAGAGATTCTCGCGACTTTCGTGAAGAACTGTGCGTCCTCCCGCGCACACGCGTGTTGTTCGTGGGTCCTGGATTAAGGTTCCTCAAATTCCGGACGGGTACCAGTTCGTATCGGCCACGTCGAGGTGTGAAAGTTAACATGACGGCTGAAGCTAACAAATGCGCTGCAAGGAAAGTTCTTATCGCAGTCGATGGAAGTGAACATGGTGATCGTGCATTCGATTGTAAGTATATCATGTTGTATCAGTTTACATAAGTGTAGCTTTTTACTGTTCTCTGCTACGAATACGTGATGTCGCAAAGGTTCGACGCTGTGTATGCGTAATCGAGATCACGCACATTTTCAAATGAATCTTCTCTGCTGCTCCCAATGTTCGAAGCCATCAGGAATTTTTGGTTTTCTAGTACAGAAGGGTCACCGTAATTAGCCATCAAGAAAACGGGTTAGTAGTTCATTTTTTGCATTTTTTGGATCATTCTATGAAAGAGGAGAACCTTACCTAACGTCCTCGTTTGTCCCCAAGTGGTCAACACAAACTGGCCTATCATTAAGAAATTTCACATGTTTACTGAAGTGCATTTTTTATAAATTGTAAGGCTTTTAGTTTCGTAAAAGGTAGAAGAGTACACATCACAAAAATTTACTCTCAAATACCCAACATTGAAACTTCTCCTTAAGGTGACCATTTTCCAGTAGACAGGTGTAAAGAATCGACAAACCCATCACCTGAAGGTTTATATCTTAATTTAACTCCAAAATTTTGGTAGTAATTGCTAGGAAAATGAATCTGCCGGTGGATAGCAGGTTCTTCAGTAAATCTGTTGAGTGCACAGGGAAAAGTAGGCTTCCCAACCATTTTTTTTTGTGTGTGTCCTTGGGTGAGACACAAGGGCCTATTAAAACTGCATGGATCATAGAGGTCTTTTTTTCATGTGAAACATAGATCTCCTTTCCTTTCGTTGGAAAAAGTGGCAGGGTGACAGGAAGTCTTAGTAAGAAATTGGGCAAAGCCCTATTATCATTTGCTACTGTAATTTTAACAGTTTACACCTGTCAGTGTTCTGATGCCGTCAAAATGATGTCTTCATAACAAAGCAAAACGGTACTTTCAAATGGCTACAGCTCTACGTAGAAGAATATAGTCAGAGCTCACAAAAGTGATTGTATACATTTTAACTATGAGATTTTAATCCTAGGGTACATGAAAAATATTCATGCTGCTGGAGATTCTGTGATTGTGTTGCATGCATTTGAGATTCCTCCTCTTCCATATTCATCTGGGCCATGTAAGTAACTCCTTAATTGTTGCTTTTTTGATCCTTTTAAATTCCTTTCATTTGCATGCAGAGTATAGGTTGGAAGAAATACATCATATTGAGGGTGTGTCTAGAAATGGGGCAAAAATTGAATATTCCTGGGGCCTTGAAAGGGTAGGAGTACTGTAAAAAATTCACAGGAGGAGTGCAACAAACTCTTGAAAATCTATCATTTTTTTTAGACCAAAACAGACTGAGTGCCTACCCAATTCTATACATGAACAGCTAACAAAACAATACTCACGATAAAAATCAAATTCAACTCCAAAACCCACCTCAGAGAGTGTCAAACCTTATCCGTAATTAGTAAAAGCCCTACCTTATTTTAGACCTAAACAAACACAACTGAACCTCCCTGCAAGGGCCAACCTGAGAACATCATTGTAGATATGAGGTAGGGTGCAACACCTGTTGTTTTAGGAAGGTTACAAAATGTTTGTTTAATTTGTGGTCAAAACAGGATCTGTATCATTCAATAACAGTGAAAAAAAGAAGCTGTGGTACATATTGCAGAACTTTGTCAAAATACTTTTTTTTTCTTTTCTTTTTTTGATATAAGTTGAACTTGATTTTTTTTGTCATTGCATTACATAGCTTTAACTATAAGCCTGCTAAAATAAGCTATAATATTATGGCTGGAGATCATAGCAAGCTCTACTGAGCTTTTATAAGAAGATCCCCATCTAATAAAAACTGTAACCTATTATGAACGTAAGATATTTTGCTGCTTTGCTGATAAAATTATGATTTGAAGTTATATCTCTAGCATAGAATTTAACTATGATTTTGCAGATAGATTCTCATTAATCTCTTAAATTGTGTATATGATTTGATTCGTTCAGGTCTTTACTAGGTAATTCATTTCACATTTTTTGCTCCCCTAAACTTTGATGAAAATTTCCCATAATTAGTTCTTTTTGAATCAATGAATATGTTTGAGGCTGATCGAGTATTGTGACTGTGAAACTTTTCACTTGATATAAAATAATTTCTAAAGTAACNAAGTAACTTGGAGGCTTGTCATTAAAGAATGAGTACATAAAAAGTGCCATTAAGTATTTATTTAACTCAATAAATATTAAGAATATTTAATGATAAAAATGGTGGCCGGGATTCATCTTTGTAGTGAGCGAATGACATGATTCTAACTATCTTTTTTTGTATCATAAGTAATGGCTTGAGTCTAGTTGGATAAGTACTTGACCAGCTGACATTACAATATGTTAAATAAGGGTACACCATGGTGTAATAGATTGCCTGTAGTGTTTCTAAGGATAAGTAATGTCTTGCCTTAGCTATTATACAGTGTCATTTTTTATATTTTTGTCACAACATGACTGACGTGGTATTTCCATGTTAGCTCATCGTCAATGTATAGACCTAAGAATTTTGTGTATTTTACTTGTTCCATTTCTTGATATTAAAATGAGTGAGGTGCATTGAGTACATTCATTTCTGTTGATTTACTTCTAACTTTACCACAGAAGGAAAATTCATGCAAGACAACCTTTTACTGATGTCAAATGAACTGACATAGATTGTGCTTGAATTTGGTTCATCAGACAGTTATATACAGGGGGTTTATCTGTGGGTTCCCCTGGAAGGAGGGGGGGGGGGTGTTGAAGCTTTGAATTGGTGCATAAAACTTTGAGAATTGAATCCACCATTGTCCAGCTTTTTGTAAATTGCACTGACCTGTTGATTTACAATTTTGATGGCAGTTGTGTTTGCTTACTACGAGGAATGGAGCCAAATGGTCAATGATCTTAGAGAAAAGGCTAAAGAAATGATGCTGGGGTATGAAGAGAGATGCAGACAGAAAGTAATCTTATTTTAACAACATCTAGCTTTCATTGCTTGTTATTTTTTATTAACCCAATCAACATCTACAGGGCTCAACACTAATGGTGGCCAACGAGCCACAGACTAGTAGAAATTCATTTTTTTCCACCAGTCAGTTTGGCCGGTAAACAAACTGAAATTTGGATCGTGCATCATACGTAAACTGAAATTGTTGTAACATCTACGTTGTGACAAACCACTTGGCTAGTAAGTTGAAAAGTTAGTGTTGTGCCCTGACACACTGAACAGTTTTGTCCATCCAGTGTCAACCCTTTAACTCCGATAAGTGACCTCACAATATTATCACAGCATCAAGCAGACAAGTGATGAGAATAAAGACCAATATAAATTAGGGAATGATTATCTGATCCAAATCCAAATTCTCCAAGTTAACAATGTAAGAATTGTATAGGGGACAGTAAGGAAAATTACTGTGGTGAGATCCTGGAGTTGAAATAGTAAAGTGCACAATTGCATACCCCATTATCAATGCATTTTTATTAAGTTAACAAAAAGATTTCCAGATTTCTGAGAAAACAGACAGATAGAACACAAGACAATGGAACATAATCATCACATGCTTGGTTGATTTGAAAGGATTTTAACTCGCATGAGTGACCAAGGATAGATGAATTTGTAGCTGATTAGTCAGCAGTGTGGACTAACCAATTAAGTAATTTGGTTTTATCAACTGAGCTGATAATGTAAATCAGCCACCATAAAGAGTTCTGAGGCTGATATTTTGTGCATCAATGCTTTGTCAGAGTTTAAATGCTCATAATTAAGGGCTAACAGGAGGATTAAACTCTTGAAAATTCAGCTTTAAAACTCTTTACAGTTGCCAATTTACATTTTCAACTTAGCCATTAAAAGTGAACACCCACACAGCACCATACAGCTTCTATAGAAACATACCCCCTTTGTATATTAATCAGTTGAGTAGCCTACTGTTAGTGTTCTTTTGGTCCATTTTGTTGGTTTTGATATTTTCTTTTTTTTTTTTTCAACTTTGTCCTTATTTAGAACTTACATTATGAGATGATCCTAATTGCTGGTAAACCTGCTGGTAATGTGATATGCAGTGAGGCAAATAAACAGAAAGTGGACCTTATTGTTACTGGTTGCCGTGGACTCAGCACAGCTAGACGTACAATCCTTGGAAGTGTTAGTGACTATATAGTGCATCATAGTAGCTCCCCAATCTGTGTAGTACCCCCTCCTTTAAAAAAAAACATGATCAATGAAAAACATGTAGATACATGAATCTCATCCCCAGGGCAATGATCAATTTTAGCCACTCACAATTTAATTTAGACAGTCAAACAGATCTGAAGAGAAACTTTTTTCGGTTACTCAGGCACTCATTTTTTATTAACTTCTTTAACTGGGGAATATTGGCCTGAGGTTCATACAAAATAACAGAGGGCAATTATTCTCCAATACAGCTCAAGCAAGCAAGATTTGGAAGTAGGCTATATTAATATGGCACTTGGACTAAGCTAGTTCATTTTGAATTTGCCACCTGTCTCAAACAAAAACACATGGCTAAGGAACATTTCTGTGGAAACTGTATGGCAAAATCCTGACCAAGTAAGAACCAATCAGAACAATTGAATTTACTTCAGGACTACATTTATATCTTAGGCCATGTAATAACATTGTGTATTTCAATTGTTTCTGTTTCAAAAACCAAACTTCAGTCACTAGAAACTGGCAATTAGATCACAACCTGTTTCATTCGTGTAACTGATCAAAAAGATTACTGACAGCTCTGAGAATGAGAAAACATTTTACCACTGAAAAGGGTAGTTATGAAAATACTATAGGTACTCTAAGACAATTTCCACTAATTATTTTCAAAATAGGAGTTTTGTCAGTCCTATAATTGCTTATTTAAACATTAATTATAAACAAACAATATTTCTGGTTCAAATTTTTCCCACATTATCAAAATGGTTAAAGAAACTGTACCAGAGTTATGAAGGTTTATATTGCTCTAATTAAAGATACTCATTATTTTGAAAGTCACATTCCATTGCAAATATTAGTCAATGCCCTTTGCTTAAAATTTTCAGCCAGGCTAGGTCTAATTAATTTTTTATGACTACAAACTTTCTAAATTTAGAATTTGATCCCTTTGTGTGTGTGCATGTTCAATAATCTTCTAGATATAATTAACAACTATTGACTGAAGTGGAGGGGGCGGTGATGGAGGTAAATATCCACCCCTAGCCACAGGCACTAAGGTGAATAGTGGTTTCAGAACAATCATGCTAAAACAGTAAGTTAATATAGCACAAAAAGATGATTTTAATTTATATGTTCCTACAATGATTACCATATTTTTGGGTGCAAATCCCATGTGAGTTGTTAGGAGGTGAATAGCAAAGGATATTCTGAGTTGGAGTACCCAATCAGAGCATACCTTCAATGCTATCCGCTTATCAAATATCAATTACATACTTAGTTTACCTACTGCTTTAGAACAATCATCCACATTATTTTTAACAATTGCTACTTTGCATATGACAAGCATAGATATCAGTAATATTAATAAGGCAATATAATTAGGTGTACTAAGATACAAGTATTTACATACTAGAAATGGTAGAAGAATTTTTACATTTTGAGGTTTCTAAAACTGCCTAAAGGTATTCTTGCATAACAATTGAAGTAAAGTGATGTTGAATTTCAAAACTGGACTGTCATTTTTCATTTCTGTGGTTAAAGTGATGCTTTGTCCTCGATCTCCACTAAAACCTTGCAGGTTTTTCTACTTTTACGATTTTCCTGAGCGAGAACTGGCACCAGATGTTTCTTTGGCCCCTCTCCATCTCCCTGTCCCCAGCCCTCGCCGTGAAGTACTGCGGCCTTCTCTACCTCTTCTCACTGATGAACTGTTAGTTGGACTGGGTGACTCTAAATCATGAACCAGAAAATTCGCATCACATATTGAACCATCTTTAAATACTGATGAGAAATTGAAATTGTACTTATTAACGACGAACTTTCACTCCCTCTCACTTTCTTTCTTTTGTTATTTCACTTGCCTTCTTCTCCTTTTTCGATTTGTATTTTAAACCACCGTAACATAAAAGTTGAAAAATTGAATTCTACCGAGAAATCACCTGTCACGTTTTCTTGGGGACAGTCACGAGTCAGTTTATTCTCGTCGATCCACTCGATCCACTTTTTCCACAATTCACATTTTTCAAGCGTTCTCTTGTTTCCAATTACTATCATCCCTCGGCGGGCTCGAGTCAAAAGCACGTTCATTCGTTTATCGTCGTCCAAGAAGCCGATAAACCCGTGCTCGTTGCAACGTACGGCGGAGAAAACAATGACGTCACGTTCTTGTCCCTGGAATCCATCCACTGTTCTGATTGAGAGGTTTTCAAGATGTTTTTGTTTCATCTTATCCGAGATCAACTTAAGTTGAGCTTGGTAGGGGGTAACTACTCCTATCCCGTCACTGGTCACGTCTTGTGCCTTAAGCAGATCACTGACCACTCCACACACTAGTTCGGCCTCAAAGTCGTTAGACTTGGACGACCCCCGGCTGTTTTCCTTTGCACATTGTGGCGTGTTAAGCAGTGCTACAGGCTATTTCTCGTTTGGCCACACGAATCCAGTTGGGGCTTTCCTCTCCGACTCAGCCACACCGTTGATAAGCTTCCCATCGTAAAATTGACGTGATGGAAACAGAGCTATGGATGGGTGCATTCTGTATTGAACATTTAGCATCCGTACAGGAACTCCCTCTTTGCGAAGCCGTGAGAACATGGAACATGTCAGCAGATCTGGACCTTTAGCAATCTCGCTAAGCACCATGGGAGGAAGCTGCTTATCATCTCCTTAAAGAGTGCGAAATAAAACAGATTGAGTTTATAACGCTAACCTACGGAAATAAGTTACAAAGAGGCTACAGGTCACGTTTTGCATCTTCATTGCTCCTCTCCCAACAAACGCCCCCTCCCCTCAGAACAACATTCTTTATTCGCTAGCTGTAAATTTGTTTTGGTATCGTTTGTCAGGGTTCACTGGTCATTGGCTAGAGTGGCAAAACGCACCCCTTCAAGTAGGTTTTGTAGGAAAGAGAGAAAATACTTCTTAAAAAGAAAAAAAAAACTGACAGAAAGAGAGATTAGCATCGCTCCTACTTTAGTTTCTCTTTTGTTTTGCGCCCTCCCCGCAAGAAAACAAATCTTATCCACCTCGTTTTCCCCATCAGTGAGAGGGTTTCTATATGATATAATTTGAATATATCAACAAAGTTGAAATGGTAAATTGGCCACCGTTACGATTATAAAAGCTGACGTTTCGAGCGTTAGCTCTCAATAGACCTTTGTTTATTCTTTTAGCATTAAGATTTCTAGCCTATAGATAGCTAGGTAGCTTAAGATGAGGAACATCGGCTCCATGAAGAAAATAAAGATTTTGCAGTCAGCCTAATTGAATAAGGGTGTGGGTGGTAAAGTACCCCAAAGGAGAACGAACTACATTTGTATTATCCCGAATACTTGAGTACTTATGTAAGAAAACAGCGGATTTCCCAGATCTCTCTTCAGCGACTCACCCACTAATACAAGCTTCTCGCATCCATGTGAAAGAGAAACAAGGTTAGCTGGTTCGGTAGCCTGTGAGGCCTCATCGACCAAAACTCGCTTGAACACGAACCCATCAAGTAAAGACGAACCTGCACTTATAAGAGTTGTGCAAACTATTTTGCAACTTTCCAGAATCTTCTTTGCTACTTTTCTGTCGATTCGGCCGTTGCGGTCTTTCTTGTCAGACATTTTTTGCGAGTATTTAAACTCAAAAGTCAAATGGTTTATGTCCTTGGACACTTTCCATCCAGAGCTTCCAAACCGAACAATCTCTTCATGTTGTAAGACGTGGTCCAAAAGCTTCTTTAAGAGGTTGTCGACACCCTCATTTGTCTCAGCCACGAGAAGAATTTGGTCACTGCTGCGAAGAAGCCAGCGTTTCACAATCTCTGCGCAGGTGATGGTCTTTCCAGAGCCCGGAGGCCCCTGTATAAGGGTTATTGAGGCGTCAGTGCAAGTGGCATCTTGTACAGCTGCATTTTGACTGTCGTTACCATCATGCCACTCTGAGAAAGAAGCGGCTGATGAAAAAGTACTGGTCTCTCCGTCTATTCTCGCGACACTTGGAGCTGAGAAAAAAAAGTTCGTGACATCTTTAACTATGGACTGCGTGCATGAATTGCTTTCTTTAGTTTGTTTTTTTTTTTATTTGAAACTGAGAGTTCACTGAGATGCGATGGAGAAGCACCTATATTTGTGATAAGATCGCTGCCTTTTCTTTGGTGCATTAATTGCATTAGCACCAGCTTGCATTAAGCAAAGGACTTGGTTTCAAGAAGCATAAGAGGTTCACATTTTGCCGTACTCTTAAAAGAAACAGAGAGACATAATTTAACGAAATCGACACTGGAAAACCTACCACTCTTTGTTGTACAGCCTTCATCTACTTGCTCACATGAATCTTGACTTGATGGGTTGTCAACACAGAAACTGCTGACAATTCCCTTTAGAACGTTCTGCCCATATTTCGTCGCGTCTTGAAGGGCTTTCAGTGCTGCTGACGTGCGTCTGTATCCAACAAGACTAGGGAATTTGTAAAGATACCACATCCCTTTAAGAATGTTCTTCCTTGAAGAGTCATCTGAACTTGTGGGCCAAACTATACTAACTGTTAGTATTGCTCCACAGATTTCTGTCACTTCGCCGATGTATTCACGTTTAGAAATATTTGATGATCGACTGAGCGCCACGCCGTCTGCTGAACGGAATGATGGAGTACCTCCTGTAATTACCAATGTGAATTTTAGTTCTTGTTCACTGTATGGAGTAGCTTGAGCCGTGACACGGTGACGTGAGTAGACTCCGTGAGATGCCTGAACTGCTTGCTGTACCTCTTCCAGTGACTCCAAAGTTATCAAGGAAATCCAGTGCAGAAAGTACGGTAAGGCATTTGGGTGGCAAGTGAAACCTTCCAAGGGCAGATAACCTAAAAGTTGAAAAGATGCCATTTTCGTCCCAACTAAAATTTACAGAGGATTTTTTTAAAACCCGGATATTTGCTGGTGATCCCGAAACAAATAGCTTTCATAACCTAAAAATTCTTAGGCTGAACTGTACCAGATAAACTTTGAAATCCTCGGAAAGAATCAATTTCTTGCATGGAAAAGCAGCACAGACATGATCGATGTAACATAAATTGAGGACAAAATTTATCCCCTTTTTCCCTTCGTTTTTAAAACCCTTAATATATCTGTCGGATTTCATTGCTTGGATGTGCCACAAACCTTTCTGCTCCCCAATTAGGTATGATTTCGTTAATTTTTTTTTCTCTATTTAGTGTGGATAAATTGTGTTTCTGTCATTTAAATATTTTAGAGGTCTCGGACGTATTCTTAGTCAAATGATTGTGTTTATCATCATCGTGATTTACCTTCGCGGATGACTTGAACTACGCGGCGTCCGGTGGGATAGTCATTTCCAAGAAGCACAGCATCGATTACCTCATACATTTGATCGACACTGAATGTGACCTGTCTCTTCCAGAAGGACTCGAGGCATCGCTTAAATCGTGTGAGAAGCGTGATGCGTACATTCTCGCCGAGGACAATGTCAACATTGAGTTCCTGTAGCCCGCTCAGCAAACAGATAAGGAGATTTTTGTAATGATCAGGTGTCCCTAAACAAATGTCTGGGGAGGATCGCCAAAGAACGGACTCTAAATGGCATGCTATATGATGCTTCTCCTGCACAAAACATCAAAAAAAGGAAAGAGGGCCTCTTCAAACAAGTTGCTACCATCGATCACGAAAGTTAGGGGTAGTTATGTCCTAACACAACACAAGAGAATACATCCCCTTTTACACAACATACAAGAAAAACAATTCATTTAACATAAACTTGGAAATCTCGTTCAATTTACACCACGATGGCAGATAAAAAGCGGGAAACGGGTTATTCTTATAGAGGTACTTTAACTCTTAACTTCAGCTACCTTTACAGATGAAGCTTTGGCGAGAAGACAGAAAACAACAATCACAAACCTTCTCGTCCGATGAAGAAGTCATTCTGTCGCATATTTCTTCCAAATGACTAGTTTGTAAACGTCCCCTTTCCAGCAAGTCTTGAACGTTGATGATATTTCTGTTCAAATCACTCAGCGACTCTTCGTGGTCACATTGAAGACCTGGGAAATCACCTTTGTGGTAGACAAACTCTTCCTCCTTTTCACTACTTCCAAAGGGTGTTTGGAGATTTGAGTCACCCTCAGTTGCATTCGCATTCCTGACGGATTTTTTTGAGGACAGTTTCTGAATCCTGTGACCAGGATCGAAATGATCATAAACACAGAAAGCTTCCAGCTCTAGCAACTGCTCTCTTCGAAGTCGAGTTTGAAAATCTCTCGGCAAGCTCGAATTAAAACGATTAAGAGCAACACTCATGATAGGTACGCGATAGTTTTCATCTTCCTGTAAGCAGATAAACGTATTCTGTTTCTTTCCTGTGTAGATGTCGAGTCGTTTACCATCCAAGGCAAAACTGTAGCCTGCATTTAGCTGTAGAACATATCTCTTCGTTGACTGAACATGTACTGAACAGAAGGCCTGGGCGATATTTTCCTCCTCATCTAGAGTCAGGACCTCACAGAGGTTTAGTGGAACTGACATCGCCAAAGAAATGACCCATTGTATATCTCCAAGCAAAAATTTGAATACAAGAAGTTTTTCAAGGGAGGAGATCAGGATATTGTGAAATACCCTCCAAGACAATTCTTGACCCTCTGTTCGGTACAGAAGACGCCAACGCTTCTCACGGCCCCGTTCAACTTTGATAAATGTGATGTCGTCCCTTGAAAGAATTCGAGATCGGTGAAGGGGATGAAGAAGAGACTCCAGGTCCGCCATTGGAATGTCGGCTGGCAGACGTTTGCACTGTTCTCGACTAAACTGGGAGAAGTCAATCAAGTGAATGTAGTCGTCAATACATCTCTCTTTGTTGGGTTGCTGGCACCACTTGTATAGATACCGAAACAGTCTGTACTCACTTAGCCGTGACTCTTGGTTGGACAACAAAGCAAGCATGTCCTCCTCCTCAAAATCTTCCACTTTTCCAATCACGACATCTTCTGTCAATTGGTCACTTTCAAACAATTTTGCCCTTTGGTACAATTTTTGCCAAACAAATTCTTCATTTTTTTCATCCTTTGTCGGAGCCTTAGAAATGTGTTCCGTGATTTTCACTCTCTCGCCAGTTTTAGCAGCATCAATGGCACGAGAGAACAATCGTGCGACTATCTGACACTCTGCAGAGCTGATTCCTTTACTATCCGCCCATCTGTCAAACAAATTGTCCAGCTTGCTCACGACAGCATTGCTGTATTTAGCAAAATACTTCAGAAAATCATCATGTGTGAGATTTGTCCTTTTAGCAGGTTTAGCTGCAGGGTATTGACTTGGCTCTGTTTCTTTCTTCGGAACAAGTTCTTCATCCCAGCAAACGAAGAATTTGTCCCCATCAAGATCACTTCCAGCAATCTCATCTGGGTGTGGACGAAATCCTTGTGTTGGAAACACAATGCAGTCTACTAGATGATGGCATTCAGGAACGTCGGTGCATTGCAAAACCCTAATATCGCCTGGATGATAGCAAGGATTTTTAGCCACCACTACGCGTGTATCTGTCAGGATCACAGGGCTTCCTCGTATTGTGGGCTGAAAGAAGACCGTTCTGGCTTTCAACTGCCCTGATGGATCACAAACACCGTAAACATTCCTCGACTTCTCAATGGGAATTTTTAGCTTCAACGCAGCTGACTTTTTAGGTTTGTGCAAAGGATTCGGCTTAGATGGCTGAGGTTCTCTGACTCGGTTACGCAATTTTTCAAGACGTTGCTTAGTTTTCGTGTCTATTTTCCTTGTCTTTAACAAATTCTCCGCCAGTTCAAACTCTTCATTTGCGCACAAGAACTTAAAAGCAACTTCATGGGCTGTGGTGATCTCTTTAAGTTCCTGGAAGAACTCTTCTTGCTTTTTTAGAAAGACCTCGTCGGAAATACCAAGCGCCGATAAAAGCATGATGTACTGTTTGTTCAACGAACCAAAGTCATTCGGCCTTGAGAAGCCCCTGTCGACAATGCCAAGGGGGTGGGGCCCAGAAGGCCTCCACACAAATTTCTCCATTGAAGGGCGGATTTGTATTCCCTCTTCTAAGCAGTTATTGTGGCATAGCACCCCTTTGCATCCCTTCAAGCGGATCTGGAATACTGACGGTATCGGTGGGAACTTGATGCCTTCATACAAAGTCTTAAGTTTCAAACTCTCAGTCACTTTCGATGCGTATTTAGTTGATATAAAACCACATCCATCTGTAAAATTGTAGTTGTCTCGTTCCACGTCATCTACAACACCTATTTGATCTTCAGGAATACTGCAAGCAGGCTTTGCAGTCGAAAACAGTAATCCGACTCTAGCAGCTCTTTTAGCAACATCTTGAATTTTCTCGAAGTTTCCAAAATGGCTCAAAATCTCCGTCACGCTACCTTGCTTCTCGTTGTAAAGAACACAAGTTCTTTCTCGAAGCTGACTAGCACTGTGGCCAAAGAATACAAATCTTTCTTCCGTGAAATCTTCTTTAAATCTAAGAATGACACCGTTCTTGAGAAATTTCGACACGGCATCAAACGGCGTTAAGGGGCTAAAATGGACAATCAGAAAATGAGCAGGATCATACTCTCGATACAGAGGGCAGGGACTGTTTTTTGTATCATCTGCAGCCTTACATGTAAAATCCTTCCATTCAAATTTATTGTCCTCTCGTCGCGTAACATCCACTGTTAAGCTTTTCACTGCAATACAATCTGAGGCACCTCTTTTCTTCCGTGCGAAGTCAATTAAGGGACAAACATCATCCGTGCCTTCCCCAACTTGCTTGAATTTCATGATTTCTAACTGGCTGAGCCACCTCCTGATTCATAGAAAGTGTGCAGTATTTTAACCTTCGCCTGTCTGCACAAAATTTACAGTTTGATCCACAGTTTACTGCTGTTTTTTTTAAACTGCTGTTTACTGCTGTTTATAAAATCATCCACAGAAGAGGTATCATACATTGAGGGTAGCCATCAGAGAAATCAGGGGGAAATAGTACCTGACGGTATGAGAGCGAATACAGAAGTTTTTCATTTGCATAATTAGAATTATGGTTTCCAATACTCAGTATCTACTAACTAAAATTTATCAAAACCTATAATCTTACAACGGCAACTGATAGTATTGCCTGTTTTGACCTAAAATTTTGCATTACTGAGCATTTTGATTTGAAACGAAGTAATCTTTCCAAACAGACTTTCTATCTTTCGCCATATCGCCGAAAAATTCTGGCCGTATATAAAAACTTCCCAGATATTTTAAACTTACCAAAGTAGTTAAAGGTTCCCGACGAAATCCTCGTCGAAATGATAGGCCGTAAGCAAGTAGAGTGGAGTCAACCGCTATTAAACCAGCCCGAATATCGCCAGCAGTTACCCGGCCGAAGGCGGAAGTTCTTTGGCGACTGTAACTTGAAGTCCTTGGGAACTCTCTGAAATCACAGGACACAATAACTCGATCACAAGGTTAAATTCCGAAAAAAGATGATGCTAGGTGTCTGTTATTTCATCGCACTCGGTGAAATCTTTTGACCAGTACAATATTATTACGTCTTTCCGGGAAATAAAGAGGTGGTCTATTCCCCGAAATCACGTGATGTTTTGAGAACCCATTTTTAAAATAAGGGTAGGGTTGGTGAGGATTTCGTAACCTGAATAAATGTATAATGAGTGCTCCACCACTGATGTTTTGATTTCTTTTAACTAGGGAAGTTGCCGAAAATAAAACGCGATTGTGGAATTAATAGGACATAAGGAAGTCAAGGAATCACTATAGATCAATCATCTTCCTCATTGCGTTTTGCGCTTCGGGGTGGGGGAGAGTGAGTTTATTGACGATTTTGCATATTAAATGTCATTTTCGAACCTGCTTACCGAGGCGTATAGGTGAAAACAACAGTAAAACAACATCACTTAGGACTTAATTTTCGATACACAGATCTTTGAGCTGTTTTTCGTTTATCAATAGCAGGCGATCAGTATTTGATGGGTAGATAGACAGTGGTAAAATTTAAAGAAAGGACTCTTCAAAATTCCGGCTTTGTAGCCACAACCAACAATTCGAAGCTAGTAACACTTTAATAATTGCATTTCTTGTTCACAATGCTTCGAGTCTTCATCTGTGGAGCTCACAGTGTTGGTAAAACAACCTTGGTGAACGAGGTTGGAAAAAAATTAAGCTTGCACGTGGAAGCTGAAGTCGCAAGAAAAGTCATCAAAGATTTAAACCTTCGACGAGAAGATTTCGACCCGAAGACTAATCAATCGAAGTTCGAAGAGCTTCAAGAAAAAATTCTCGAAGCGCAATGTAAAGTCGAGGAGCAGCATTCGAGAAATGGGACGCCGTACATCGCAGATCGAGGAATTGATCCATTGGTTTATTCTTTAATGTACTTGGGGGAAAATAGCATGAAAAGACTGTTGAGTTTACCGTCAAGCCAAGAGTGCGTTAACAGGTGAGCTTACCTGAGGTAAACCATCTAAAATACGAATAAGAATTTAGCTCAGTTCTTCTTTTTTCTTGATAACCGCTAGTTAAAGATTTGATGAGTAATTTGACTAGGAAAGATTCTCAAAATAAGTTTGTTTATTGTTATCATGGTTTCTTGACGATGGTGGTCTGATATCTTCAAATGACGCGAACTTCAGCGAAGCGGAAATCTCTATCACATGAATATACGTTGATACCCAGTTCCATTTATAAAATAAAGATTCATCTGATGATAACTTCACATTTTGTCTAACTGACATATTTATAGCACTGGTTTGACTCAGAGCAGATCTATTGACACAGAAAAGAAATAACTCTGTGCATTTCATGATCAAATTATTATATGCGTAAAGTGCATCTACGTATACAGAATCAATCATTCATTTTGACAGTAAACTCTGTTTTTTTCTAAGATTTATGAGACGTTCTTCCGCTATTTTTGTTTGAGTTAAATAGAAATAAGGCCAGGCGAGCTATAACGTAATTAACGATGACAATCTCTCGTCGCCTGCACCAGATTAACCAAGTCAAATCAATTGTTAATTATCTCTCGAGGTTTTAGATGTGCTTGATTTGCTCCAGAGATGTTACTCATAATTTGCATTTGAACGATTATCATTTTCTAGGATATGATTCACACAAATCTAATTTTTCCGAATATTTATGGACAGTACCTTTCCCTTTTTAAATTATTACAGTATAGTCTATATTTTACTGATTGATGGTTCATCACTAACAATCTAAGTAGACACCTCATTCACGAGTTTTTATGCGACGTTTACAGTTTCTTTGAGGAGCCCTTGTGAGACTACAAAAACAAAACTTATAATCAAAAAAATTCATGCGCGAACCTTACAACTGAAGGGCCTGAAACGCCGCACAGATAGATCAAACCGCCAAGGAGTTTGTCTTTGACTGTTATTGTTGGGGCGTGACTTTCGTGGTGGCCCCGTTTACGTTTGTCAACTGACCTTACTTTGGACCTTCCCTGAAGGTCCTGCTCTGTCTTTAATTTCTAGGTTGAATATTTTCTGTTCAAAAGGAAACATCAATATTTTTGTTGTTCATTTGCGAGAGTCTTGTAAAAGTATTTGGGTTTGTGCTCCAATAAAGGAGATGCCGGCATCTGCGAATTATGGTTCGGTCTAATAGTTTTCCGCCTACCTTTTTCTCAACAAAGGGTTTAAAAAAGCAGTTAATAGAAGAATAAGTAAGTTGATTCTCGACTGTAGTGATGGCTACGATGCCAGAATAGATTGGCTGAATCAACTGAAACTAGGCTGAGCTGTGAGGAAATACATAATATTCAAAGATCGTAACCAAACAGTTTCATCTGTATATATATTCCAATTCAGTGGGCTCGACTGTCAGATGTGAGGGAACCGTTTTTTGTAGTTCAGAGGGATTTTTAAGTTCACCGTAATAATCTTTTCTTTAATTTAGTTACAAATTGCTGAAGTGCACCCTTAAAGTGTGTCTTTTTATTTTTTTAGATGCTTCTCTGCCCACCATTTTGCGGTTGGTATTTGTAATATCATATTTGTACTAATAATACTAAGTGTATTGCCTCTTTTGTTCTTTCCAGGTACAGGACTTCCTTAGTGTTCGTGGTGCGACCCTTCCGAGAATGCTTACAGCCCGATGACATCCGACTCGTGCCTAAGATGGAGGAGCTGTCAAAGTTCACAAACCTGATGGAGAAAGTTCTTCAGGACAACAGAATCCCTTTTACGGTCATCGACGTGTTAGACCTAAAGAAGAGAGTTGATATAGTCCAAGAAAAAATAATGGAACACCGAAGCCTCAAAGTTGTAACAAGAACGGATGGAACCATCTTTAATCGAGATGATTAGGTTTCCTTTCCTGTGGCTAGAAACTGTCACGTGATTTACTTCATTTTATCGTGTGTAGATGTAAGACTGTGGAAAAACGTTCACAGGGAAACATGACATGCAGTCGCGCGTTACTCACGCCTTATTGATTGACTTCATTATGACTTGTACTTCGGGTGAACTGCTCATTGCAGTCCCCCGAAAAATGTTGTAAATTAAATCGGATGAGCCACATGATACAGATAATGTACTGTACTGTGGTTTTTGAACGAAATATTGCTTTTGTATATGGAAATTTGTTTATATCACTGACATTGCTATTGGAAGCTTAAGTTTTCAGCAGTAAAGATTTGAGACAGATGCAGCGTGCACGGGCTTGAAAGAACGCTAAGATACAAGCAATAACCCTTAGAAAATCACTGCTTCTGTTCGTTATATGTTGAAAGGGGAAAAATAGCCATCACTGTGGGTTTACCGGCACAATAAAGAGAATGTCTTTCACTTATCAGAGAAGTCTAAAGTTATTATGTTGTATTGCAATTGAAACAGAGAGATTTTCGCCGCATGGAAAATCAGAATGGGGGTTTGAAATGAGTGAGCACGGCCATCAACAGCATTATCATTAACAGTTTCCTGTCCTAAATAGATCTTTCCATGAGTCGAATTAGTTAGGGTCTCGATATTTGTCAAAATAACGATTTAGAATTTAGCTGGACGGCACGCAGAGGATACTAAATGTCCAGTTATCAAGTAACATATCTCTCCGCGCAGCTCAAAGTTTCGCTTATTATTAAAAACAATCAAATAGTTGTGTAATAATGTTAATCAGATGAAGTGTAATATTTAGTGTTCGATTTAATAGATAAAATAAACACAAAAACATAACACAACGCCAAGTGCTCGCTCTCCAAACTTTTACTCAAAACTCGAAAAACATGCTTAAGCGATATGTCAATCACTGACTATTATATATTGGCCCTAACAATCAAAAATACGAACTAGTCAGGCTGGGTAAACGATATGAGCGGATAGGTGAGATTTCATTACGAAGCTTTGTAGTTTTCGTGTTTAGTTCGCGGGCTCGATCTCGAGTCCAAGTCGAACTCTTTCGAGTAACGCACCTCTGACATTTTTCCCTTTATAGAAAAGAAAACTAGTATAAAGATATCTGCTTTCCTTAGTCAACTAGCGGCTTGCTTATAGCACTTTATATCAGGCGTGAGGAATATTTCTGTGAAAATCAACGTCAAAGTCTGGGAAGTTAGTAGCAACAGCGATGCTCAATTTAGCTTTTTGTTCTTGGGGCCCACGACTTGTGTGTTTTCTCAATTAGCCAAAAAAGAACCTTCTTGCGTTGTATTTAATGGTGTTCTCCCAAGATTGTGATTCTATTGTTAGTAAACCTGTCTGGACCCAATTCCAAATCAACTAACTTTTGATGAAAACTATATCAAACAAGACGAAATCATGGTAAGTAGTGTTCGAGTTATTATTCATTTCCTATTTACCAGCCTTAAACACATGATTGCCAGAGACGACGGCTTCCAGCGAAACCCCGATGAAAGGTAAATTTGACTTGGTGAACATTTTATTTCAGTTCAAGATTAAGAGATATATCTGAGGGTGGACTGAAATATTATCTTAGGCTATCTAAACGAATCGAACTGGAAGGTTGAGAGTGCTCTCTGAGGTGAATTATCTTTAAGTTGGTCTTAATCTTTAAAACCAGAAAAAGTTTCTTTTTGAAATGGCACTGATGAAACTGTTATTAAGTCTGACGAAAAATTTCCAGTCACGCTCAATCGCATTGTATTTGAAGATCTTCAGTCACTTTTACGCCTAAAGCTTCCCTGACTTATTTTCTGTTCTGGCTTACCAATTCTAAGTTCAGAAATAACCTCTGTCAATGATGTGTCATAGTTGTTGTGACAAGTCATGAACTTATTGCTCTGTAAGCTGCCATATTGCCATAAACATCTCAGTAAAGAAATAATTAAGTATGACGGAATTTCCTTTATTTCAATCAGCATTGCCAATGATACCAAATAATAATGTATCATCAGAAGTCGTAGAGATTCCAGAATTGAACGTTGAACCATTACCTTTTACATATCAGTTTGGTGTGTGAGGAATGAATAAAGTATTGAAATATTTATTGAATTCTTATTTGCAGTGCAAGAACATATATCGTTAATGCAAACCTCGAATTTGTCTTGCTTTACTTTTACTTTTGTTTTCTGTCACCAGCGGGGAAGTAATGGGCTCTCGAAAACTGAGAATCAAACCGAAGAGTTGGATGTGTCCTGAAATTAATCATAATTCACATCGTCATGAATAAGTTTATCACTTGTGTATGTAATCCAGCCAGCTTCGAACATCTGTGGAGGTTTCATTGTGAATAAGTTATAAAACATTTGCTGTGTTGGTAAATTCGACTGCACCATAAAAAAAAAAAAAAAAATTAAAAATTAAAAAAAAAAAAAAACGCTAAAGGAGCTCTGAGAAACACAACTGCCTTCAGTTGGTAGTTTATGATAACCAAGGGTTTGTGTTATGCACAGGGAAAGGCGAGGAATGTTTGTGTGGTTTTGTCCCATAATTTTTGAAAATAATTTGCATATATATATATATATATAGCGTAAACACTTAACGGTATCTGTAGAACTTGAAGACACGGGATAAGATCGAACTTCTTAAGCTTAGAATTAAATGACTTCAGCATTATTACCACGCCAGATTTACATTAAAAGAGAAAAAATCAAACAGGTTACTTGGAACCGTGGTGTTTGTTTTTGTTTTAAACTGTGTCTTAGATAATCGAGTAAACCAAAATGAACGTAGACCAATTACACAAGCTGGGCCGCTGTGAAATGAACTGTGGCTCTTATATGCAGTTTTTAGTGGTCCGGGCAGTAATCTAAGTTTAGGCCTAAAGCTTACGTTTAGTTATAAAAAGGTTAGTTCGACCGAGAACCTGTCGAATGGTTTCCTTCTACCGTTCGTTCCGCGCATGACGGATTTCTTCAACTTTGTCTGAAACTGAGGCTTATTGAGTAAAACGGATTAAAAATGTTTGTTAGACCAAAATTCAGATATAATTCAACCCTTTTTATAATGAAGCCACTTTGAAGTATCGCTGTTCCTCGTGGGTGGTGGTAGACTTCGTATGACGAACAACACAAAGAGACTGGACGCTACTCGAGCCACTTAAACCGCTCAATCTGGAATGCTGTGGTATAATTTCGAGACAAACGTGTTTCTGATGAATTTTCTTGTTTTATTCCTTTATATCTATGAAGGAAAAGACTGGAGTCATATTTTTGCCAGATTCTACTTCCTTATATCCAACAGTAATTGATTTGTTCAACAAGCATTATCTTCAAACGAAACGTCTGCACAATGAGAACATCAGTGAACCGTTTTTTTTTAGTTGAAATAAAAACTGAATGAAAATTTTCAGAGAAAACACAAAACTTACAAAATAGAATATTGAATTCCAAAGCTGGAAGTATATGTTGCATGTGCTATGAATCATTAGTCATGAAAAACTTCCTTTACAAATCAGTAAACAAATATGTCAGATCACCGAGCAAAGATAAAAATGAAATTGTGCTGAATTAATTCTAAGTCTTCTTTTTTACAAGGGTATTATTCATGAGTGATGTTTTTAAAAACAACAACTTGAGCTAAGTCAAACAGCAACCCTAAATAACTCGATTGAAAATTTATTGGTTGAGTGAATGAATTAATGTCATCGTTCTTACTTTGAAACTTACCAGCTTCAAACATCTGTGAGGGTTTCATATATGTAAAAGCAAATGATATTTGTTTTTGGTGCTGGTTAATGCAACAGCAGCCTAACAACGCGCCAATGGATGAAGCGATATAATCATCAGTCAGGTAGTTTTTCGTTGTTATTTTTAACCTGAAATACGAAAAGTCATTTTGCCGCCCTACCAAGCGAAAGACGAAAAATTGAAAAACACTGAAACTGGCATGGGTATAAGCAAGTGACTGTTAAATTAATTTTGCTGATGATGAAATTTGAATTTTCGGTGGCAATCGTCGCTCTAACATTAAGCCACTTCACCTCACCCTCTACGATGACCAACACTTTTTATCATATATATTTCAAATCTTCTACGTTGTACTTTATGAACGTGAAAGAGATAATCGATTTGCATAGAGAGGATGACGAAAAAACATGTCGTTGACATGATTCTAGCTACTGAGAATATATGAATATCATATATTCTACCCGCGAGACATTTACACAGAAAATCACTGAGAAAAAAATGCATTAATGACATTTTGCTGAAATGAGAAAATTTTGCAGGATGCTGAAACAAGCACTTTGATAAAATAACCTCTGTTTAGTATTAGCGATCAGTGATTGTGTTGAGTAAGTCTAAGAAGGATCAATCTGGGTCCGTTTGGTCATTTGTTTGTTTTTTACCTAATGCAGGGTATTTTCATACTCACGGAGTTCGACTGAAGAGGAAAAGTAGCTTATTTTGCTTTTACAAGAGCCTAGTATAGTCGAATAAGTCGTTTTCTTTCATCTTATTTCTAGTCTAAATATTAGTTCATTGTTCACTGTCGCGAAACCTGCAGCTTCTTTTCACATCACAGAAAAGAGCGCATATTGATCAAATCAGGCTCGATCTTCGTCTCGGATTAGCATCTCTAAATGCTAATGAAACTGCATTTGAAACCGGAGCGAAGGGCTAACGCTCGAAACGTCAGCTTTTGTAATCGTTACGGTGGCCAATTTACCATTTCAACTTTGTTGATATATCCAAATTATTTCGTTACCCCCACCGACGCAGCCCCAAACAGTTTCTTTAGAAAATATCACCCTTTATGCATTTGAAACTGTTTCCCTCTACTTACAATCACCTAAATTTATGCCATGGGCGCATAACTCTTCTTTACTCAGATAAACATTTATCTATCTGAACACCAACTGTTTTAGTATCATGAGTGTGTGCTTGTTAATAAAGAAGGAAACCGCTCATTGATTACAATGTTTTCATCTTAGAGCTTATTTGATCTTGAAATTTTCAATTTTTTCTCCTGAAGATATCTTAGATTTATAGTCTAGCCATGAAGCCTGCACACTCATTCGAAAGAACAACAATCATGAAGTGTAACTTCTGCAGCCACTTTTCGAGGCAAAGTCAGCGAAAACCTGAAAAATGAACTTTTTAACAAATTGGTCAAAATGTGTGAAGAGCTTAAGTCCTTGTTTTTTATGGAGTAGCCGAAGTTGCCTGTGTGTGTTTTCATTACGTTTGCATCGCCTGTCCATAGGGAAAAAGAAAGGCATTAACCATTCGATCAGAATAGAGGAGGACACTCTGAACTGGAGTACAGAAGAACAGAAAATCAACTCACAGAAATTTTGGTGTACTCGAGTATCATTCTTACAACGAAACGCTTCAGGCTTTTGTGAATACACTCATATCGTTCTAGAATTTCCATTCTTTTGATGATCGAGAAGATACTTAACTTCAGTCTACATTCTTGTTCTCTAGGAAAGATGTTTTCTATGAAGAATTTTTGGCCTTTCACCGTGCTTCTTTGTAAGTATTATCCTTACCAGCGCATTAGGGATTTTTCAAATCTATGTACATGTGAAGTGGGTATGAGTTTTAATGGCCGGACTGTTACGTTCTTTCGGTTATTTATGAAAAAATGAACATCAATTCAATATAGGTCTTCTTTGAAAAAATAGTTTACTGTTATGCTGAGGATTAGGTCCATCAACAGTCCATCCTTACCCTTCAGTCAATATACAAGAACACTTATTTCCTAATGAGGGTGTTTCCTTGTTGAAGTTTCATGGATTTCTGAAGTACACCTCCGAAATTATATCCCACGGTTTGAAACGACTCAACTCATTCAAGTTCAAAAAGGGCAGTATGTGGAAATAAGCTTCGAAATATGGACATATGCCTCTGGAACACCTTGTGTTGATGAAGAATATCTTGAGATCCGTGATGGTTATAATCAGTCTGCCAATCTACTGGGTGTATTTTGTGGAAATGGAACTACTGGCATCCGACGATCCAGTGGGCGAAACTTGTGGTTAAAATTTTCTTCTTCTGATGGATATTGGTTTCAAAACAACTCCTACTACAGCGGCAAGGAACTGAATGAGACGAGTAAGTATTGATAGGTTTGAATTTGGTCTCCTGCTGACTGGTTTGATTGAGCGATTTCTTGTTGCCGGTTTAGCCACTCCAAACCTGAAGCTCGTACCAAAGACGCAGTTTGTCCTTTTTAAACATTCTTCATCTCTGTGGTGCCCGGCAGAAGGTGGACCAGCTCCATACATTGTGTGGAGAAAGAATGGAGCCGTTGTGCAAAACAGCACGAGTGTAAGATACTGGCTCACCATTACTGAGGAAGAAGAGAATCCAAACTACAGCTGCGAGGTGGAAACCCACAATGGACTAGACCAGAAAAACATCAGTCTTGTTATCGAAAGTAAGTCAGTAGAGGTATATTTTAATCTCAGCAGTGCTTAACTGCAATAATTTACTCCTTTTAAAATTAAGTTTTGGGCATTTTTAGTATTTTTGGGGGTACAAATCCAAGCAGCCCGTAATTGACAAGAGGGAGCTGGAACTCGGTTAGTGAGAAGTAGTATTATTCCTATGCATACACAAAAAGCTGAGAAGACATTCAAAACATATTAAATAAAACATAAACGAATTTCGTGGTTTCATTCTGCTACAAACACAACTGGTTTGTTTTCCTAGCTCTCTCGTTCGGAAAGCCATTCTTGATTCTTAGTCAAGCGAGAAATTTTTCCCATATAATAAATCCTTTATTGACCAAGCTTTTTCGGTTTAGATGACTGGATATAAGCCTTGTTCTTCTTTCCATTTTTAAGGACCTCCACTTCGTCTCTGCCCATAAAAATGGAAATAAATGACTTGGCGGCTATTCAGCCATCTTGACCTCGCGCTTAGTCAATTACGCATATCAAGTATTGCTGTTGCTGTTGTTGTTGTTTTTGTTTGACAGGGTGCCCAGAACCATGCCAATGCACTGTTCTGGAAGGTAACATAGAGGGCTTTATATCGGTAAATTGCGAAAGAAAACTGCTACACTCAGTTCCACAGAACTTACCCGGAACTACAATAAAACTGTAAGTGTTTAACTTACCAGGCTAAAGGAACGTCTTAAAGAACACTTTTGAAGCTTAACAAGCACCAAGCTAACATCTGGTTGTGATGATTTTAACCTCACAGGGTCGTATCCGAAAATCAATTGGAGGACTTACCCCCCAGAGTTTTCAGCGGGTTGAATTGGCTTAGCACACTGTAAGTACCAAATAAATTTAAAAACAAAAGAGAGGCAGACGAAAAAGCTCAAAGCTAACAACCTGTTGTGATGATTTTACTGGAACAGGATCTTGTCCAATAATCATCCAAAGGACCTGATACCTGGGCTGGGTTATTCAGAGGTGGGTTAAGATAACCCATGGTTAGTGTGAAATTTGATTTCAGATCTGAAAGCTTGAAAAGAAAACTCAGTTAAATTCCATTTGTCTACGATTTGATGATTGAATTCTCTAAAAAAAAAAAATGGGAAAATAATCCCAAAACGGCTTTTGAACAGAGAAAGATACAAACCTGAATTAAAATCTAAACCTGGGCTAGCGCCAATCGGCCTAGTTGGAGTTTCCACCGAGTTGGATTGGCTTTACACATTGTGAGTACCAACCAAATACTGGACTGAAATCCACGGACTGGTAAAACATCCACGTAACACTCGCGCGTGGAACAGCTCTAACAATCCTGAGCGTATAAACAAAAAAGTTTAGAATCTAAATCTTGATGCATCAAGTATAGCGGTAGAAAGAATACTTCAAACTTGGTCTTACTTCGCACTTGGTCAATAACGCACGTTTATAATCCAACTACACCTAGACGAGTACAAATAACGCCAAAGACGAGTACAAATAACGCCATAGACGAGTACAAATATCACGCGGTATTTGTACTCGTCTATTGTAGTACCGGTTAAACAGGTTTTCTCGCATCGCGCAAGCGAAGAATAGGATTGTAGTTACGAAAAAAAAAAAACAAATGGCGGA